GAACACTTCCAGGGATGGGGCATCCACAGCTTCTCTGAGCAGCCTGTCCCAGTGCCTCACCACCCTCACAGTGAAGAATTTCTCCCTGATATCCAATCTAAACCTCCTGTGTTTCAATTTAAAGCCTTGTCCTATCACTACAGGCCCTTGTAAAAAGCCACCCCCCAGCTTCCTTGTAGCCCCTTCAGGTACTGGAAGGTGCTATAAGGTCTCCCCGGAGGCTTCTCTTCTCCAGGCTGAACACCCCAACTCTCACAGCCTTTCATCATAAAAGAGAGGTGCTCCAGCCCTCGGAGCATCTTCGTGGCCTCCTCTGGACTTGCTGCAACTGGTCGATATACTTCTTATGCTGAGGACCCCAGAGCTGGACGCAGCACTCCAGATGAGGTCTGCTTATATCAGAGAAAAACAGAAACTTATCAGTAGATGTAAATACTTACTGCTAGTTACTTGCCTTTCATACAGTATTTATTTCAGGGACTTATGTTGGACTCAAGTCTTGCCTGATACCAACCAACAAACCAACCAAAAAAAACCCCAAGCCCCCCAAAACTGGCAAAACTGGCTTCCCCCGATGTATTTCTCATCTTTCTAAATTGTCTATGCCAGCTCTAAAAAAATGCAATTTTTGCTTAGGAATTGTACTATGATAATCTTACTTCTTAGTACTTTGAAAGTTTTTGCATTTTATTTTTCCTACTGTGATTTTTTCTTTTTTAGCTGAAAAAAACCCAGTAGGCAAAATATATCTATCTGTGAAATGGATATAATTACCTGAATCTGTTTACGTTCAGAGAGTATAGGTGCAGTTTACTAGCAATTATGTGCTATTCAGCACCATTAACTATATTGCAGAAGATACGTTATAAATTCAGGAAGACAAATGTAAGGCAGAATTATAAATGTTGGAAAACTAGTTCCACAGTAATACCAAGTACTCTGATGGGCTAGGCCAACTAAACCAACTGTATCATTAGGCTTTTGTTGCTTGTTCAGGCTCAAGGGTACACATACTTCATTCAAATAAAACGGTTTTCTGGACAGCATGAGAATCATATGTCACAGGGCAAAGCAATGTGGGATTTTTTGTTGGTTGCAAAAACCTGCTACACACAGACATGATTATTCAACAATTAATCTTATTGCTTGCTGATTTATTTTATTTTTTTAATCATTGAATTTGCTAAAGCACCATGAAAATACACTAGGAAATCGGCAACATTGATCCAACTCTGAGAATGTTTTCACACACCTCTGACTTGTCTCTGCTGGGATGTCTAATCCGTACTCAGCTACAACCTGTTCGTTGAGATGTTACCAATGATGGCTTCCATCACTAACTCCTGTCAGAGGAAGAAAGTGTTTTCTCTACAGCTATTTAATATTAATCTTGTTGGATAGAATCCAGATTCAGATTAATGAATTAGGAAATACCCTTAATAAGGAATAAGTAATGACCCAGAAGCAGAAAAAAAAATTGTGATTTAAATCACAAATTAAAAACAGTGATGTGTGTTTAAAAACAGTCTGTGTGTTTAACGTTTCTGAAAATCGTGTTGTGAGGAAAAGCAGATCTGGAATCCATGGAGTGTCTACAAGGTTAAGACAGTAATAAAATATGGTTTAGTTTATTCTATTTTAAAAAAAGGCTTCTACTAATTCAAGATGTTTTTCACAATTAATTTATGTTTAGATAATTATTCTACCCAGCAACCTAGGTTAGTACGTGCATGATCAACATGAATTTGTTAAAATAGCAGTTATCTTCTCAATCTTCATTATCTTCATTGATTGCCTTCTAATAGAAATGTTTCAGCATATTAATTATATTATTACACAATATTCATAGGACTCCTGCATTTAGTGAAGAGGTGTTCAAGATTTCTTTTTGTTCTTATCATTTACTGTGGCTTTAGTCTTCACCCAATGTACACCTTTCCAATCCTGTCAGGAGTACAGAATTTATCTTTGTGATTTTGTCTCTTCTTTCTTTGCTCCTTACCTACCTCTTTCCATCCATTCCAGCCTACACAAGTATGCCCTCTTTGTCCTTTTTCTTTGTCCTTACCCTTCTCTCCCACTGGCTCATGTTCATCACCCCTTCTGCCATTTGCTTGTACCTCCCTGGTTGTTCTCATGCTCTGCCTGCAGCATTGGAGAATTTGCTGAAACACAGATGGCAATTAATCTCCCCAAGTTCATCCTCCAGGAACCAAATTCTGTTTTAAAGAAAGGCAGTCTCCATTATAAAAAGCCTATATTTTATTATCTATTATAATTTTATTGGAAAAATCAAAGTTTATGTGAAATTTATTAGATGGTTCAGAATAGTTTAATACCAACACTATCCCCAAAACTATATATATATAGAAAATGTTACTGCTGTAATACCTTTTTTTTTTAATACAGCACACTAAATGTAGCTATATTACAATACAATTTTATCTCACTTTTTAAAGAGGTAGTTGAGTGATTATTTCACAATTTTTGTTTATAGTTTTACTCTTTGCATTATACAAGATCCTTTCTCCTTGGAGGAGGTCTGGCTATTTCACCTCATGTATTTTGTTTAGTAGAGATTTTACTACTCTCTGTGAGCGTATGGGGAAGAGACAGATTTCTATATTTGGCTAGTGTATAGCTATATGTATTTTTTGCTTTTGAAAGAAAGGCTTAAGTGAAAGTTATTCCTTTAGTTACTTATAAGGTTGAGAAAAAGCAGAGATCTTTTAGGTGACTTTTTGATACAAGCAGCTCAGTGGGAGGCTCAGCACAGATGGTTTAAAGGGCTGTTGCAAGGGCTGAAGTAGTCTCTGGACTTCCCAAACGTCTTAATCTCTTTAGAGCAATCATAGCTTGTAATTTCTACAGCACTGAGCACACAGAGGTCTGTGAGGAGCTGCTGTTGGCAGAACTCCCACACTTCAGCCACTGGTGGAGGTCGAAGTGTTGTAAGGTGTAAATCCTAAGAATTGGAAGAGGTCTTATGGAATAGTCACAAAGTTGCTGTCTGTTTCTTCTACTTTCATCAGTAATGGCAAGATAGGCTCAAATATAATTTTCCCATTAAAACAGTGTTACACTGGCTGAATTACTCTAAAATTAGGGAAATGGTATTTTACAATGTAATGGGCAATTATATGTATGAAAATCACCTAATACTGTCCATTGCCTTAAATTTGTTACACCATTTTGAAGAGTTCATGATCTATTCCATACAGATATCAATTTACCTTCGTTTTCACTTGAGTGTGAAAGAAAAAGTGATGTGGAAAAAAGCTGAAAAATTATCTATTCCATACATGATCTATTCCATACAGATATCAATTTACCTTCGTTTTCACTTGAGTGTGAAAGAAAAAGCTGATGTAGAAAAAAAACTTTGGTTTTGGAATGCTGGGGAAAAGCATATCCTGTTTCATTGCCAGCAAACCAGTTATCGCCTTCTGAAAAAATGCTACAGTAGGTGCCAAAAGCATTAATTTATAATACTTTCTCCACCTCCATCAGATCTTAAGTAGAATTACATTTTAATGAGACTAATGCAAGCTTAAGATACATTCAGTGAATTTGTAGACACAATTACACAACTGAAATAGGAAATGTAAACTTGGATGTGACTTTGAATCTCTCGAAACCCATCCCAAACTCAAAGATAATGTAATGGGGTTCTGAATTTTTTCATTGTACTGTACATGCAACACATGTATTGAGAGTTGGTTTTTGGGTGGTGATGAAAAGGCTGATCCTGAAGAAATGTTATCATTAAATATTTTTATTTCATAACAATAAAAATCTTGATCTTTATGTCTTGAGAAGCGTCCAGTTTGGTTAGTTGTTTCGTGAATGTCAAAATTCATCTTGAAGAACCTAATGGGTTCTTCTTAGGAAGAACCTAATTTTTTAACTTTGTTATGAGCTGTTGCTATCTTGACCTGGAAAATATGACTGGAACTTAGTAATGTCTTAAACCTGCATATTACCACTTTCTGAAGAGGTGCACAACTCCTGCTGTGTCATACTGAGAAACTGGTAGCTTGCTGGGGCAGGTTTTTTAGAGAAGTCCAAGTAGGAAACACTGAAACCTGATCCTAGACAATGGTCACTAGGTACGTTTCCAAGTTTAGCTGAAACACTTAGAGCAGAGAGGTGCTTTCAAACATCTTTTCACAAACCCTGATCATGAGAGAACATTTAGGAGTCTCCTTGTGATACTGTTCAGCTGTTAGACAGTGCTGGGCAGGACAACCACATGACATCACAGATAATCTCCTCTGTAATACACTGAGCCTTCAAGGGCCCTGCATATTACACTGTAAGCCATCCTTCCATGTCTTGAACTTTGGGTCTGTGAAATTATGTTTCTAAAGCCCCATTTTAGAAGAATGCCAGATGATCTGACCTTATCACTTTCGTAATAACATGTTTCTGGTTAAAAGTAAGGGATCTCTCTTGATGACGTTATCATTCTGTGCCAGACACTTAGTCCATTGAAGAATAAGTGGAAAAATAATAAAGAGGAGAAGATAGCATAGGTTGGCATTGCACCTTGAGAACTACTTGCACATGTAGAAAGGTTTATTGAAGATCGTGACAAATATATTTTCTATAACCTAAGTGTGGGATACAATGTGTTACTCAGGAGATGTGTAGGATTCTTGTTTCCATTTATTTTCTTTTTTTTTTATTTTCCACTTTATTTTGAGGAAAATAAAATGAAAATTAACTGAATTTTAAATTATTCTGACAAATTGTGCTGGTTTACTTACACATCCATTTTTATGCTTTATTAAATAGTTCAGGGTTTCTTATATCAGTGCTACTTTATTCCAAAGCTCGCTCCTGTCCTCGGCTTCAGCTGCCATTGTAGCACATCAGCACTTAAGCTAACTCCAGTGAAGAAACTTAGAAGCTTAGTGGATCTGATTATCTCACCCTGAAATTCCAGAGTCAGCTTTAAATATTTATGCAGATAATTATTTTTTGCTGTTCCTGTACAGGATTGACATCTTCAAGTATGTGATATATGGTGTAGCAGCTGCATTCTTTGTATATGGCATTTTGCTGATGGTGGAGGGATTCTTTACAACTGGTGCCATCAAGGATCTCTATGGGGATTTCAAAATCACCACTTGCGGCAGATGTGTCAGTGCCTGGGTAAGTGGTTACAAAGGCTTTTGTACCTATGACAATTTCAGCATGTTTTATACATTTGTAGTGCCTTGTGATGTTGTTTTGGTGGGGTTTTTTTGTTTCTTTCTGATATAATATTGAAGTATTTTCTGATACCTCAGTTTAGTGGTTAAAAATCATAGCAAAGGAAAATAGTGTGTTAGAAATGTTCTCCATATTGGTTAATCACTAAGCAACTTGCTACTTAGGAGCAATTGACTCCAATATATAAATGAAAAAGCTTATTATCTCAGCAACTTAAGCTGTTTGGGATTGGACTATAAGTTGTACTGAGCAAGAAATATTTTTCTTACTAATATTTTCACGGTGATTTTAGGAATCTTGCTTGTTCCTCTTTGGGACAAACTGAGACCTGTCATCAGATATTTTTTTGGTTTTAAATGGCAAACAGACCATTATTTACTCATACGTTAACTCTGATTCGGAGACACCATTCACTTCTGAGACTGGAAAAATTAGTTACAAAAAATTATGATGTGTAGTGCGACTGAAGTGGAAGTTTCTCATACTAAAATTGTTGACTATTTGAACTAGGATTATTTTAAGATCACTGTTCAAAATCAGATAAGTAACTATATTGGTATTTCACCCTTCTGCATCTAAGATCAGTGGCTTGGACAATTGGTAGCTCCTGGAGTTGGATATTTCTGAAAACACCATCAGTATCAACAAATCATATTTTCTGATTAAAAATAAGTTATTAAATACAGCCAGTTATGTCTGGGTGTTAAGGTACACTTAATGTTTTACTATATTTACAGTAACTGATATATAAAATAATATCCAGAGGAGGGTTTCCTACTGCACTTTCCTACAAATGTCAACATTTATTAAACTGGAATACAGGCTAGGAACAAATAGAGGCAATAGAGAATATCTTGCAGTCACATTAAAGACTATAAAAACTAGCATTTTGAATATCCTGACATTTAAGGTTAAACTGAATACAGATAATCTGCACATTGGAAATTGGGAATATGGTATGTATGACAGCCTTACATAAATGGAAGACGCTTCACAATAATGCTGCTTTTTCATCCTTTTTTCTTTTGTTCCTGCCAAATGTCATGGTTTGATTTTGGCACTTTGACTAAGAATTGTTTTGAAGCCTTTAAATAAATATATAAATAAAGGCTGGCAACATTTTAAATAAAGAACAATCATTGGTTATATCAACATTGCTTTCACATCCTGGAAAGAAATGTGTATCTCTATTCACTGAGAACCTACTAAACTAGTTCCAATTCCATGCAGAATAGCAAATTTTGCAGAACATTATTTTTTCTTCACAGCTCCCATAAATACCTGTCCTCAGTAATGCAGCAGAGCAATGCTACATCCTTTCAGTTTTGATGTCTTTGTAGTATAAACTGTAATTGTGTTCTACGTATCTAGAAGAAATGAACAGCTGAGTATCTATTCTATGCTTAAAATCACTGTTATTATTAATGATTCATTAAATTTATTCCTTCAGCACTTTATTTTTCTCATTAGTAATTTGTAATGTTTGTGTTGTACTTTAAGAAACCTTGGGTTGATATACATTATGCATCTAAGGTTAAGGCTGCATACAGGTTATGATCACAATTGAAATAGGCCATCGATTATTTTGAGTTAAATATATTGTTGTTATTATTCTTGAAGTTAGTGGAAATCTTTTTCTTTTCCCTGGAAAATCTACATTTTGATTGCTTTTCTTAATCTGATGATATATCAGTAAGATTGCCATACAAATGTTTAGAGCTATTTTGGGTTATTATTCTGGCTTTTACTTCTCTACTCTAGAGTTTTGAAAATAAGAGAGTAAATGCAGCATTTTTGTCAAAACTTGGGACCCTTTTTGACTAGGTTTATTTTGATTATCTCACATTGAAAATTCTTAAGGGATAGATAACAATTTACATTAAAAAAACCAACCAAACAAACATAAAACCCCACATTTGGAATTAGAAAATATTTCAGTCCAGCAGTGATATGTTTATAATTCAATCAGTTCCTTAAAGCATGCAGTGATATGAAGAAGTAAGTTCTAAGAACAACAAAGAGATGTCTGGAGAGGTAAGTCGAACCTCATCAGTACTCGTGTGTCAAGCCCAGGTCGTTCTATTGCTATGCAAATTTGCTGCAATAAATTTTGTTATCTACAGTTGCCAAAAGGTAGATATGCTGTTGAAAAGGATTGACAGATACTACATGTTGAAAGAAAACTTCCTTGTATAAAATCTTGAGATATTAATTTTGTAAATTAATAAGCTGTCGAAGACAGTTGGTTTCTTTTAGCAATACCTAAATTCTAAGAGAAATGTAGACACAACTTATTTGTTGTTTTGACAAATTTAAATTATAAAAATGGTTCCACATTGAAAAAAAACCCTTTGTAAAAATCCAGTTGTGACTATGACATCACATGAAATTTCCTGTGTATTTCTAAATACCAGTTTAGCTTGTTAAAATCTGAAAATGAAGTCCTTCTGCTTTACCACTGTCACCAATTACTTCTCATTAATATTTTGTATGATCATATTTGTTATGTCTGTGACTAAACCTATTAGGAAAATGAAGGAATAAAAAAAAATCAACAAGAACTTTCAAGGGGGAAAAGATTGGTTTAAGTTTGTACAGACAAGCTATATTTCTCATTGGAAATCTGAAAGGTAACTTTTTTTTTTCTTATCAAATATTCTTCAAAAAGCAGGCTTTTTAGAAGACTGAAGGCCAACATCTATATAAACTTTTCATGTGCCCTTCCTGACCTCCCTCCTTCACTGGGACTAGCTCACATCCTAGCTCCGCGTGGGCAGAAGGATTTTTTTTTTTTTTGCCAGATAATGGAAGAAGACATAGCTCAGCCTAACCTTTCCAGGGATTGTACAGTTGATTAATCAGTCTAAATGAACATTCAGAGGGTTAGCATCCAAGTCATGCCAGTGCTGCTGTGGTGTGTACCCTCACAGATCTGAGAGAGGGCCTGTGAAAGTGACAGTGAAGAGTCTCATTGGCAGCATTTTCAGAATTAATTTACCGTGAAATTAAAACAGAAGCAGTATAACAACACCAGTCACATTTAAGGAGGGATGACAGTGGTTTTAGTCTTTATTTTTCAATGCCTGAACATGCTTTTAGAGATTTAAATAAACAGACATATATTAACTGTGCTGCAGCATGATTAATGAAAAATGGGAGACAGGCCTGAAGCCAACTGTGGCACTGTATATTTGTGATTTAATACCCCTCCTATTTATATTCAGGTAGCTTGATCATGGAGGGTCTCATTTACGCCTTGTTTTAGAATGTCTGCTTACGGAGTCAAAAATTAAAGAAACATAAGTGAGGCTTTTTTCCTTCAAAAGTCTTACTCTTACAAAAATTCTATGCTGTGAAATAGGAAAGCAATTTTTTGAATTTCATCGGATAACATTGGATAAAGATTTTATCCTGACAGTTACGTTTCTATTTCTTTGTATCTTACATTTTAAAAGAAACATATCTTCCGTATCTTTTGTATTCAGGAATCTTTTATTTTAGTGAGTGAAAAGGGTTTTTCTGCCTTTGAAAATTATTTTAGCTACCTGAGTACCTATGTGCTATTTGACCCAAGCTTCTTGAGTGCTTAAACTAAAACTTGAACTTTCCACAATATTTCCAGATTTTATTTTGAAAAAAACAAACAAACAAACAAAAAACCCCCCCACCAACCAACCAAAACAAAAAACCCCAAACAAACAAACACCAAAAAAAAACCCAACCAAAGAAACAAAAACTCCAAAACCAAAAACCAAAGAGGGAAGCTTTGAAGATGTTTTGAAAATTATTTGAAAAACCATTTGTAAGGGATGTGAACTTGTCACTTCATCTGGCCCTTACCAGACCAGTTATTCTAGCGGCAGTGAAATTGCATCAGATTGACCTTTGATTCTTTCTGTAACAGGAGGAACAGAGCTAGTGAAGGGTCAGCTGGCTTTCCCATCCAGAACAGATGCATCATTTCTGAATGCGAGAAATGGAGCTCTTCTTTCTGAAAATCAGATACCATATCTGTATATTCTGGTGTAAAAATGCTGAGCAGACAAAGAGAGGGGCCTTCATTCTGACTGAATACTGGTCTATCGGAGAAATGCAGAATCCTTCATACCACTGCTTCTTCATTCATGAGAATAAACTTCTCTCCAAGGCAGCAGATGTACTCATGGGTCTAGAATCTCTTAATCCAATCTTAAATAAGGAAAGCACCTAACAAAACTCTTGTCCCCATAAAGATAAAGTAACCAATCACAAAATTGCAGAGTGCTAGGGGTTGGAGGGGACCTTTGAAAATCATCTAGTCCAACCCCCCCTGCCAAAGGAGGTTCATAATGCTGTAGTTCCAGGCACTGACTTGGGAAATGGGGAAGGTAAAATTCATATGATTGTCTGACCCTTCAGTCTGCATAGTTTAAAAGCAGAATAATGACTTCTTGCCATAAATGACCCAGAAGTTGTGGAGAAGTTAATTTCAGAGGGAATGTGTTGTGGCACAGGTGTATCACACCTAACTAGGAATGTTGCTAAGGTTGCCAAGAGAAGGGCCTATGCTCCCTCAGTAGTTAAAAGAGAGAGAGGGTTGGAGGGACTTTCTCAGTCCCTCCAGAAATGGATTATAAAGAAGTACCAAAAAGATAAATTATAAAATTTTCAGGGAAAACCTAGTCTTGCATCAGTGCATAGGTGTCTTCAAACTGAGTATGATCTAATAGTTAGTGGATTTGTTTACAAAGCAAAGTTTCAAAAAATTAATTTGTTAGAGAACCTTCTTTTTGTGTTTCTGATACAGCTGTGGAAATATCCCCTTCTCTGCTACTAGTAAATTAATTCAGTCAATCAGAAATGAAACCAGATTTTATAGGTATCTCAATAGCTACAAGCAATAGACAACATGCAGAGAATATTTCAGCCTTGAAACACAAATTTAAAGGAAATTTTAGAAA